AGCCACTCTGTGGAGTTGGGCCTCTCCTTCCACTTTTGTTTGGGCTCCAGAGATCTAGCCCAGGTCTCCAGGCTTGGGTGACAAGTACCTTTAACCAGTCAGCCGGGAGATGACCTATTTGTGGCTCAAATAACTGAGTGGATCATAAATAGAACTCTACAAAGATAAACCATGAGCTGTGGTGTGGTTCAGTGGCAAACTGCTTACCCAGCATGCACGAAGCCTTGGGCTCCATCCTCAGCATTATAAGTGGTGTGTGTGTGTGTGTATTTCCCACCATACATCATCACATGCACATTCTCTCTCTCTCTCTCTCTCTCTCTCTCTCTCTCTCTCTCTCTCTCTCTCTCATACACACACACACACACACACACACACATATTTTGGGAAACATTTTTGGGATACATACAATCAAGAACATCTGAGTATTGAGTTACAATGTCACAGGTAATTTTCACTCTCAGTTAAATCCAGCAAGTGTGCATTAAAGGACCTGACATCAATCAAGAATGAGAGAAAAGTTGTCCTGGGTACACTAGCCGAGAACGCCCATGCAGGACCTGTCACTGAGCTAGATGCCCGGCTAGATGTGTGGGGCTGAAAGTGACTCAGAAGCGGCTTCTTTGGTAGGCAGAGTTCCCATTTCTGTAGATTTTTTGAAAACAAAATGAAGAAGAAGAAGAAGAAGAAGAAGAAGAAGAAGAAGAAGAAGAAGAAGAAGAAGAAGAAGAAGAAGAAGAAGGAAGGAAGGAAGGAAGGAAGGAAGGAAGGAAGGAAGGAAGGAAGGAAGATTCTGCTTTTCTCAAAATCCCAAAAAACAACAACAAACAAAACAAAACAAAAGAAGTCGGGTATATCAACGGACTCTTCCCCACAGGGCTGACATCATCAAAAGTCATGCATGTCAGTAAAGAATTCAGTTGTTCAGCTCAGAGTGAAGACACTCAGGTGTTTCATTTGGGAAGCACCACAAGAGATCACTGCAGACAAGGTGGATCAGAGGCCACAGGAGACCCAAAGAAGTCACTCAGAGGAAAGGCAACCACCAGCTCGGGTGATGGCCGAAAGGAACAGGGAGCAGACTGAGATGTTGAGAACCTGAGAGCTACATGAAGAAACTATGTGACAAGGGACAGGGAGGTAGCCAGCAAGTGGATGGAAGCAGAGCCATTCTGATGATGCCCGTAAGAGGACCAACAGCCTCCTACAGGGGAGGTCCTGAGTTCAGCAGGGATAAGCAGGAAGATAGATAAAGTGGTAAGGGGGCCACAGGAAGTTCAGGTGTGGGAGGAAATGGTTACTGGAGTCACAGACATAAGGATATCACCTAGGAGGGACATCTGAGGACCTCAACACTTCCCCACCTTTCCCATGAAGACAGGAGGCTCACTGAGAACAACTTCCGGATGAAAATGGAGCTGGGAAGGGGAGGCAGGGCTGCAGTGTAGCTCAGCCAGAGAGGGCTTACACAGCACCGGTGAGTTGTCCTAGGTTCCATTCCCAGTACTGCCCATGGGGGGGGGGCGGAGACACAGAGACAGAGATCAAAGAGGAGAGGCTGGGGGCAGATGTGGTGTGGTGGCAGGAAACAGATGAACCCCGTTTCAAGGGTGAACACACCTGCAGGAGCTCACACTGAAATGAATGACTGCTCTTAGAAGAGGGTCAATCATTCATGGAAACACCATGACACAAGGAACACTCAAGAGAAGATGGAATTACCTGAACAGCAAACTAAGGCTAAGGCAGTAAAAGCAGGCATACCTAATCTCACCTGGACTCTTCAGATATATTTAAGGGGGCTCTACTACAGCCCCTGTTTCTTAGGAAGCCTGCTTGGATGGCACCAGGCCATGATGGCCTCTCCCTTTCTTCCACTTTTACCAGTGGGTGGCTCTGGAGCACCCAGGTTGCAGTAAATGTGGAATCCACAGAAGGGGCACAGCACGGCTGCTGTGCTGAGTGTTCACCAGCTGCCCAGAACCTGGGCCAGAGGACTGTGAGAACGCACTAGCATCATGTTGGAATGCAAGGGGTAAAGAGGAGGCTGCAGCTGGACCCCATATGAGGACAGGAAACAGCACATGCACATAGTCAGTTGTCACTTTGGGGGAGATAAATCCATAAGTAGGGCATCAACCAGTGAAGACAAAGGGAAGAGTCCACCAGAGGGCAGAATGCCAGCATGTGGTGTTTGGAGGGCACGGCTGCAGCCAGAGTGCAAGCTTTACCTTGGGGAGCAGTGGGAGATGAGGCAGGGCTAGCCTAGGGCATTTCCACTTTATCCTGAAGGGCTGCAGGAAGAGGAGGGATGTGGCCACAGGCTGGAGAATGGAAGGGAGCACTCATGGCCACAGGCTGGAGAATGCATGTGGAGAATGGAAGGGAGCACTCATGG